TAATTCTATTTATTCTTTTCTTATTATCTCTATATTAGGCTTTAGCTAAGATTTAAAAGATAATAATTATAAGGTTTACTAATAATATAAACCTTTTTAGTATAATAGCTTCTTAAGACTAGGTTTTAGCCTAACTCTAATAGGTATAGACTATTTATTCTAAGTAGTTAATAACCTATACCTTATTATTCTTAGTTTTAAAATTCTAGCTTTTTTATTTTTAATAAAGTTAATTTATAATTCCTAAAAACCTTTAGCTTAAAGACTATTAGCTTATACTATAAGTAGTAATCTAACTCTTAAGGGTCTAGCTTATACTATTACTAAAATAAATAATATATATAATTAAAGTTAAAGTAAAGGTTCTTTTTACCTAATAAGCCTTTAAAGTTTTTATTAAGATAGCCTAAGGCTTTTAGCTAAGATATATAAAAGAATTTTACTTTTATATTATTTAATTAATTATAGCTTATAGCCTTATTACTTAATATACCTTAAAGAATAAACTAGTAGGCCTAGCTACTACTCTTAATACCTTTTAGGTAATATACTTTTATATAGTAGTAAGAGCCTTCTAGGCTATAACTACCTACTATATTAAGGTTAAACTTAATATCCCCTTTATCTACCTTTACTTTACTACCTATAAGGCTTAGATCTTAATAAGATAAGAAAGAATAAAGTAATAGTTTAACTTTAATATATAATTATTTAGGTTATATTATAAATCCTAATCTTAATAGTATAGTACTATAAGATTTACTAATAAGAACTACTTTTTATATACCTTTTAAAAAGGCTTTTAATAAATATTAATTAGATAATAAAAGGTAATAAAAAAAAACTAAATAAATAGCTTTAAGTTATATAGAATAACTATTAGGAGGATATAAATATATATTATTAAAAATAAGTTAATTAGCTATAAATTTACCTAGCTTATTACCTACTATAAGTTTAATATAAGAAGAAAAAAGATACTTTATAATTCCCTTTATATTATATTAGTTTATTAATTATATAGCTTTATATAAATAAGATTAAACTAATAGCTTTCTTTTATAATAAGAAAGTCTTTAGATTTACTTTATTAATATATTAATATAATAAAGAACCTAAAAATCCTATCTATATTATCCTCTCCTACCTACTATTATATCTAGGCCTAGATATAATCTCTTTTTAAAACTAGAGAGATATTCTCCTAACTCTTAACTACCTAAAGTATATAATAACTATTATAATATAGTTCTATAAATAGTAATAACTATAATACCTTTAAATATAAATAGATAATAAAAAATAATAAACTAGGTTAGGTTTTAGTTAGGTTTTAATAATAATATAAGTAGTAATAGGTTTAGAGGGTAATATTATATTATTTAATTAAAGTTTCTTATAAATTTTTATTTACTAATATAATAATATTTATTAGAAGTTAAAAAGGAATAAAACTAAAGTACTTTTTACTAGACCTAAGGGTAGGGGTAGTTAAGACTATCTTAACTACTTTAATCTTTTTCTTAATAATAGCCTTTTTAACTACCTTCTTAATAGTCTTCTTAGGCTTTTTACCTTAGCCTAGATAGGGCCCCTTCTCCTTTCTCTTATTCTTAATACCCTCTTAGGCTAGCCCCTTTCCCTTTCTATTAGTAAGGGCTTCCTAGGCCCTTTCCCTTAAGCTCTATATAGCTAGGCGTATTTCTTATCCTCCCTACTAAGGAAATTATTAGTTATGTTAAGAAGCTAAGTTAAAGCCTTAAGAATAGATTAAGTAACTAGCTAAGACTAAATAGTAGTAATAGACTTAGTAATAAATATATAAATATAAAGATAAGAGAGTTTTTTCTTTATATACTAAGAATAAGAGTTTAAGTTTAAAGCTATACTAATTAACTTCTAAATAAGAAAATAAAGTAAAAAGACTTACCTTTTAACTTATAATAAACTAACTACTTTTTATTTATAAAAAGTAAATAATTTATATAAAGAACCTATATAGAATTAATACTTATAGGAGTAAGGTAATATATTCTCTTTATTAGCTTTTTTTTTAAACTTTTTTTTTTTTCTTCTTTTTAGGCTTTTAAATTAAAAAAAATAAAGTAAATATTATAGTCTTTATAACCTTTATAAGACTAATAAAAGAAAAAGGAAGAACCTTAAAAGTAATAATATAATATTAAAAGTTATAAAGAAATTAAAAAAAAAATAAAAAGTTAATAAAGAATAAGAAAAAAAGAAATAAAAGTAAAAAATAAGGTAAAAGCTAATAAAAACTTATAAAAAAAATTAAGTTATTTAGAATAAACTAAGAAAACTAGATAATAGATTAATAAACTATAATAAGATAAATCTAATTAAAAATACTTTTTATAAAGTATTCTAGAACTATAAGCCTAGACTTATATAGAAGCTTTAATATAAAAGAAGATATAATACCTTATAAGTTCTTAACTATTAAGTAAGGTATATTAATAAGTATAAAAAAAGAAAGTATATATAAAAATAAATAAAAGCTATAATATTAATAATTAAAAAATTAAAAAGACTAATAAAAAGATTAAAAGTCTTTTTTTAATTAAATATAAGAATAGAAGTTAATAAATAAGATATTATAAAATAACTATATAGAGTTAGTTAATAAAGAATAATAAGATTTAATAAAGAAAAGCTATAAGTATAAAAAAAGAGAATATAGAAAGGAAGGAAAAGGTAGAAGAAGAAGAGAAAGAAAATATATT